TTGCTCAGCTTGAACAAAACCCAATTGGGCTTATAGTCAACTGAGCAATATTCTCATACTGATTTGGTCCTGACCACTCAAGAATGCTTTGCTAGTCATTACTTTAATTAAGGAAAATCTTCTTGCGAGACAAAGCTGACCTGGGCTTAACTGGGTAGAAATTTAAGAGCAGTCGTAATGATGATTAAGTTTTTAATATCGATAGTCATTAGTATTCTCATAGGTCAACTTTACAGGCAACCAACATTACATGTGTGCTGCACATGTGACTGTTAAGAGTCTTAGGTTTAGTCCTGTAAAATGAAGAAGTCTGTCTCTAACTCTCTATTATGTATTTTCAGATAGTTTGCACATTAAATTTACTCAGCTTGAACAAAACCCAATTAGGCATTTGCAAGTTTCGATTTCTTGTTTAATTTCCTACTTGTAAGATCTAATTCTATGAAGAATTTAGCTAACAGCACTTTCTGCATTTGTTTTCTGCAGAGTCCAGGTTCAAGAGAATTTGGAAACTCAGTACTGAAATCTGTCAATAAGTCGACATCCCAATTCAAAAAATCTGTGATTCGCAGAAGTGGTCCTTCGATTGATTGGTTCCCTAGGAAAAAAACTGAATCATACTTGAAAAGAAAGATAAAGCGTCTTCAGGTACTTACTGGATAGTGCAAAATGTTTAGCCACTCTTCGTTCTAGAGTAAATTGTATTTAAACCATAGCACGAGTGGATCCAGGATAATATTGCACATTAGACCAGGTTAGTTTACACTGTTCAGTATACTCCAGATTCCCACCTGCCAGTTAAAGTGCAGTTTACATTTTTATTCTCCTTCATGGACCTTTAAGATCTTGATTGTGCACTTCAATGCATTTCATGACGAGAAACTCGAAATTTGATGTCATTGCTGTCTCAGTTCTCTCTTCTCTGCCTGAGATAAGCAAAGTGGGAAATTGGATTAAATAATATTTTTTATGATGTGAATTAAAGTTATGCCTTTCGTCTTCTGCAGGAGACTGATGGTATGACCGCATCCCTTCATGATACTCTGGAAAATTCCAATCTTCATTATACTAGGATGGCAAGGGAGAAAATTGCAGCCAGTGAAGCGGCCAGAAAGGCGATGGAAGCTCGCAAGACTGCTATGGTTGAAGCTTCGTGGTGTAGAATTCTTCAAACAGCCAGGTGAGATTATGTTGTTCTTATTCTATCATGCCTGCTGTTATGCTGACTACACTTGTTTCATTCCTCTGATATTCTGACTGTCCTTGATATGTTATTTTATTTTATTTTTCTAATAGGATCCAAAACAAAGAAGCTGAAGAACTTATGGAAAAGGCCAAGTTGCATGCGACTGAAGCATTTGAATACGCTAGAGTAATAGGTATCATGATGTATGACAAGCCTGACTGTCCCAGTCAGCAGTATGAGGTGGAATCCTCGGCAAAAACTGGAGGAAGACCAACTCACAAGGTTACAGCGTCCTTTCAGACTGCTTTTGAGGTTGATATGGAGGTTGCTGCTGCAGTGAAGAAGGCATTTGTCAAACTTGCAAACTCTCCTGATTTGCCAAACCAAGAAGAGTTTAAGGAGCTATTGCGGAAAATTAGCCAAAATCCAGAGGCGACTGATAGTGATGTGAATTCTGAAGCTGAGCAGCAGCTTGGTGACTGTAACAATGAAGAAACAAACAATTTCAAATCCAATAACAATACCTCCAGAAAAAGCATCTTCCCATCTGATTTCAATACTGCTGATCTAGAACAATCCACTGATCTTGTAAACATTATGCTTGAAAGGATAAAAGCTCTTCATGAAGACGACCTTGCCTCTTTGGCGGTCATTGTTGCCACATCTGGCCTAAATGCAGCACTTCAAAGGGATAAGGGAAAATATCATGAAACGAAGCCTGTGAGCTACACTACTGCAGGGACACACAGACCACAATCAAGAAGATATTCCACTGCAGCCAGCTTTATTGATATACAAGGACCAAAGAAAGAAGTCTCATCTGAATTACCAAGTCTGGACAAGTTCTTGGTCAAGCATCATTCAAAACTAGAAAGAGAAGTTCAAGAAGCAAAAGAAGCATGCAGAAAAGTAACTCCAGTGAAACCTGTTGTACAAGATGGCCAGGGCCAACTTGCAGGGGGCAACACAACGGCACTAGAATCTGCTTCTGACCTGGGCAGCATTCTTGTGAAGAATATGTCTAGGCTTGAGAAAGAGATCTTGGAAGCCAAGAAGAGCAACCAGTGCACCGGTTCTTCTGAAGGGAACTGCAAGGATGTTACGGACGATGTGCAAGCCAGCACCGAAGAATCTGAATCTCTCAAGGGTCAGTCAGAAGTCTTGTCTGACAGCAATGTGATCAGGGGATCGGGTGAAGAAAGCAATTGCGTTCAAGCCTGTACCGATTCTTCACAAGATAAAGAAAACAGAATTTTAAGTTCACATAAGCTGCCACCCTTGGCTGCAAAGGGTAACCATGGTGGCAAAAGATTGACTCGAATTGAAGCTGCAAAGCTTGAAGCACTTCGAAGTTTCTGCACTAAGGATGGCAGCGAAGTAGGTGTTGGCCTCGACAAGGTCTTTGTTAAGCCAACCAATAGACTGGAGATGGAAAAGAGAAAAGCACTGGAGCAAGGACAGATCGACGTACAGAAGCAGAAGGATCCACAGAAGTGTTGTGATAACACACCAGTGAGTTTAGATGAGATTTTAGTGAAGCGTGTATCAAGACTGGAAAGGGAGAAAATGGAGTATGAGAAGAGGAATGCCTCGGGACAAGGACAGACCATTGTGTCGCGTGATCAGCGGAAGCATGGCAACATTGCCACAGCATCCGAGAGCTTGGATCAAGTCCTAGTAAAACGTGTCAGTCGGCTAGAAAGGGAGAAGATGGAATATGAGAAGAGGAATGCATCAGGAGGAGCAAGAACTGGTGTGCAGACTGGTAGCGATGACAAAGCATCTGATAGTTTAGACCAGATCTTGGATAAACATGTCTCCAGGCTTGAAAAGGAGAAGATGGAGCATGAAAAGAAGGGTGATAGTGACACACCACTGCTAGAGAAGAGTGATACACAATGTGCAGATGGAGCAGCCGGGGGTCTGGCTGACATCTTTGTCAAGCGTCCGACGAAGCTTGAGCAAGCCAAGCAGGCTGCTGCTGCTGCTGAAGGAAATTCGACAAGAGTCTTGAACCCTGCTGAAGAGCGCAGGAGAGCGAGGGAGAAAGAGCTTCTGGATGCATGGGGAGGAGAGGGGCTAGGGAGCTCGGTGAAGCCCCATCTGTCCAAGATTGAGAGTGACAAGGTAATTAATTGGTTCTATCACACCAACCTATCATCTGAAGATATGAAATGTACCAGCACTTAGAATGTTTCGACTACTTGGCAGGTTGAATGTAGGAAATCAGAGGGAGAACTGAAGCAGGAGCGCAGAAGAGCGAGGGAGAAGGAGCTTCTGGATGCATGGGGAGGAGTGGGGCTCGGCAACTCGATGAAGCCACATCTCTCCAAGATCGAGAAAGATAAGGTAACTGATTCTATTACACTAATCCATCACCCCCCCAAGAAACGAAAGCATATCAATCCTTACCCTTCTTGGACTGCTTGTCAGGCTGCTTGGAGAAAACTAGAGGAGGAACAGAAGCAGATATGTGCTGGTAGTACAAGGGAGCTGTGACTTTGCTGGGTCAGCACAGCAAGTATACTCTACTCGCTTCCGGGTCTGTTTGCGTTTCATATAGAAACTTCCTGCAGAACATGGATGTCATCAGAATCTCTCTCTCCTGTATATTGTGGACTTGTGGTCACATACCAAACATTGGAAACTTCCATTCCGGAGGAAAGTAAAGTAAGATGTGCAACTTTCTACCAGGCAATGAACTTCGAATTTTTGCTGCTGCTCTCTTTTAAGTGGGAGCAAGCCAAGTGATGTGCTCTCCTTAGCTTCTCTCTCTCTCTTTCTTATCTCGTTGCGTGTTACTCACATGCTTATCCTTGGAAGCATATGCGAGGATGAGAGCATCCCGGTGCTTCTTTTGACTTTGCCCAATGCCGCAAAGTTGGAAATTTTATCATCAGCTCATCAACAAGTTAAATATAAGTAGATGTTAGATGGTACCCCGGCATATATGCTGGGTGCTGCTATTTTACTTCTTTATTGACTTGATGCAAACCAAGGGGTAAAAAGTATAACTGAAACTGACTGTTTTTTGAAGATAAGATGCCGAGGTCTTACGGAAATTGGAAAAGCTTCATGTAATAAGTCTGCTACTCCCTCCGTTCCTAAATATTTGTCTTTCTAGAGATTTCAGCAAGTGACTACGTACGAAGCAAAATGAGTGAATCTACACTCAAAAATATGTCTATATACATCCGCATGTGGTAGTTCATTTGAAATCTCTAAAAAGACAAATATTTAGAAACGGAGGGAGTAGATGTGGATGGAATGTTGATTCTTTTGTAAACAAATGAGGGCAGTAGATTCTGCATATTATTGAATTTCTTCCCTTCAGCAGCACAACACATTCTTGAAGTGTTTTTATCGGGGCTACCATGGTGCACCCTTTTACCATTTCGTTGCGTCTAGTTGCCTTGCTATTTTCACCCTCGTTGGACCATATTTGCTTAGAAGTTAGAACCGCGGATTAGTTCACACTGTTGTTTCCCGTTACTTTTTCAGCAGTTACTTTGCACGCATTGCTTTGTTTCTGCTCTGGAAGTTTGGTGAAAAGATGAATCATGAGTGTGAAAAGGGGAGAGTGACAATAGAACCAGAACCTGAGGGGGTTCACTTCTTCTAGCCGGCAGATATTTATGGCATATCTCCTTATCCCTGGTCGTTTTTCCGTTGACGCATATCATATGCCACAAATGATGAACATGCCAGATTCAGTCAGATTCAAGCTAGTAAAAAACACTTGTGATCGATCTATTTTACCAGCAACCACTCGGTGAAACTAGTATACAGCACAGTGGTCTCCTCAAATAATCGATCAAGCCATCCTAAGGCTGAGACAGCGCACCAGCCATTGCGGCTGCTTCGACACCGTCACCCCTCCCCGGAGATCACACGGCGTCGCCCTCTGGTGGCGGTGCTGCACCGGGCGGAGCGCCTCGTCGGAGTCGGTCGACGAAGACGGCGTCTGTGGGCTTCTTCTGCCGGAGCAGTCCGTCGCGCTCTCCCGCCTCCTCCTCTGGCTCCTTCTGCTCCCGCCGTGGACGCCGCCGCCGCCGACGGCCAGCGTCAGCTCCAGCTCGTCCTCGCTTTCCGTGGACGGCGGCGTCGCTAGGCGGCCTGTGCCGGCGCTGACGACGGTGTGCTCGTCCTCGTTGTCGTCGACAGGGAGCTGCAGGCTCAGCTCCGGCCGGCGGGGGTGCTGCCTGCGCCTCTGCACCTGACGGCAGGGTAGCACTGACGACGGGCGCCCGCTCTGGTCGCCCATGAGCTGCTTCTGGACTCGGTACAGCCGGTGCAGATCATGCACCTTTCGAGCCGATCATGGCAGGGATTTTGTTTGTCAGCTCGGGAACAAATCCAAGAATACGCAATTGAAATAGAGATGGATGTGTTTGGTCTGGCTACCTGCTGCCTGAAGGTCTGCTCGTGCTTGAGCATGGCCATCTTCATGACCTCCATGTCGCACTGCCGCACGAGCTCCTCCATCTGCGTCATATGCTTCTCTTCTTGGTCTCCTCGTCTTGTCCTTGAGGGATTATAAGCTTGCATGAGACAAATGAAAGGAGAGGAGAGACGGCAAAGGTGTGTTGTGGACTTCTGGTAGGCACTACTAGAGGAACTTGGGTAGGGGGTGGCCGGGGTTTATAAAAGAAGATTGGCACGAGAGAGTGCAAAGCAACGGCATGGATTGGAATGGAAACGCTGGCCTGGCCGCAATGATGCCACAAGAGAATATTGGGCCTTTCCGCATGGCATGGTATGCCAAACAAACTAGGCCGGCAGCGGCGATGGGGTTTGGGTACATGCTCTGCACGAGATGCCCCTCCCGCAGCAGACAGCTTTGGCAGGACTAGTCTTTTAAACCCGTGTCTAGAGGCTTTTGAGCATTTCTCTGCGCGGCGTGGGCGATGCGTGCGACTGACAGTAGTGTTAAATTGGTCAATTAAAACTACTAGCAGGACACGCTAGCTGTTGTAAATACGTACTCTCCTTCTTGGCAAGGCTGACAAGGGTTACAAAATGGTCGTATGCTTTGGCTGCTTTTATCATTGCCTGGCCCCTACCATAAGTGTCAGCACGCCTTCAGAATACAGATAAAGTGTAGGTATGCATCCACTGGAACCGGTAAAGAGACTTGAGAATACAGATACGTGTAAGAAGTGCATGCATTTTGAAGTACCTTGTCACTGAAAACAAGCAAAGGACACACATCGGGGTAGGAGGAGTACGTGTGGATTGACACTCATTGGGCGACACCGACACATACACGCACGCACGGTGTACGAAAGCTATATACATGGATCCATCGATGTTTGATGCGTCGCGTACATGCATGCATGTATAGATGTGGTGGTGTGCTGACAAAGCAATCCACTCTTTTTGTTAGGAAAACCAAGCAGCAAAAGTGAGAGAAAACAAACAAACAAACAAACAAACTGGAAAGGCCGGGATGCCGATGCGTGCTAATCATCGCTTCGAGAGCAAGCAAGCAAGCAATCATCTGTGTGTACTCTACCATCGTGTAGCTTAGTTTAAGAATAATCATATTCTTATTTGCCCCACCGTGCCCCCACCGACCAAGGATTAACTAGCACTAATCGTATGCGCTTTGAGTCTTTGATCGATTCGATCATCGAACTGTGCAGTTCTGAGTGACCATCGTCTCCCATTGCTCGTAACACAACGAGGCGTTGTGCGAAATTTCCATCTCCATGGTGCGACATTGATTGAAGAAGAGAGGAAGATAGGAGGACCATGCTCGGAGCTAGGACCGGGGCATGCAGAAAGGTGAAGTGGAAAGGAAGGAAGGATGAGTTGGAACAAGTTCGGATGGGAATGGATAAGACCGGTCGTACCGTATGCATGGGCGGCTACTCCACGGGGCGAGACAACGGCGCACGCGCTGCCGGCAGTGAGAGGCGCATCCGTACTCAGTGGCGGCCCACCATGGACGCATAGAATCAACACCATTGCCCGACATGAGCTGACCAGACCCGGCGCCTCCCTTGTTTATTGGCTTTCTCCGCGGGAAGAACTGCCGCAAAAGCTGAGTTGCCCTCCCGTACCACGTTATGTTTTTTTGGCGAGGGTACCGCTTTATACTGTCCTCCCTCCATTTCATAATATAGTGCTTTCTTTATTCCCGTGCTTTAAATTTGTCCATAAATTTAACTATCAAGACCGTGCAGCGGGAGCAAAAGTTATATCAGTGAATTCGTATTCGAAAGAAGTTTTTAATTATGTAATTTTTTCTCCCGCCGCAGTCAGTCTCGTTCGTCAAGTTTATGGTCAAAATTTGACCTCGGAAAGCCCAGGCGCACTATATTTTGGAATGGAGGGAGTAGTCTTTTTTTTACAAGTTAGCGGAAGAGCTGCTAAAAATCCCATTGCAGAAAAAGAAGCGATGGCTTGCTCGATTTATTTGGGGGAAACAGGGCGAAAATCTGTACGACAGGCACACCACACCTAACTTGTAGCGACCCGACTCGGTAAGAGTCGAAGTCTCTGTGCTTACCGTGCTAGTCCCTGGATCGACTTGCTAGCACACACAGTACGCGATGAAATAACAGAAATAACACACATATCTTTATTACATCGATAGTCCAAGAGCAATACATTCATTACAAAATAGGGCATAGAGCCAATAAGCAAATACTGCGGAAGCAAAGAAGTAAATGAGTCCAACTCCACGAGCAAGGTTGAGTGTAGAACATCGACCTATCGCACCTTAATCCTCGTCGGATATATCTGCAACGTGATAAGTTGCAGCCAAGTGGGTCAGTACATTGAATGTACTGGCAAGTCACATCATAGTGTAATGAACCTGCTTTTACATGCAGTTTGGCTGGTGGAAAGCTCTAAGTTTAGTTTTTGCATAAAGCTAGTTTTTCTCTATTAGAAAAGATTGTTATTCTATTACTACACATTTGCATAGGATGAGTTGGCAAATCCAACTCCATCCGTCCCCAAGTTTCATTTAAAACCCAACTGTTTAATTAAAGGTGAGGAGATCTCCCGGCATTTCCACTACTAGATGCTCAAGTGGTCCGTAACCGGGGACACGGCTAATCGATTAGGTTGAAAACTCTGCAAAGATTATGCACTTTTCCCCACAAGACTCGACCACCTCCATGATCGGAAGATCGAGACATAGTCTTTCGAAAATGTTTCCCCTTAATCCACGGATAGGCCGGTACACCTACATCATTCTACATCTGCTAGCCCATCCCGGAAGAGGTCACACTAACTACTCAACTAAGCCAGAGCCCATATTGGCCTGTGGCTGCACACGTAAGCTTCTAGACATGGGAATACGATCGATCTCTTTGAGCCTGAGCGGACGGTCCACTAGTGGTGCACCACCATGGATTTCCCATGCGTGCCCCACTATACCTCGCCACCATTCCCACAAATTTCCGCCCAGATAGTTCATTATTTAACTTAGGTCTTATTTACTACATTGTCACTCAAACTTTACAATGATCACTCCCCAATCCACGTCTACTTAGCATAGCAACATAAAGTAAAACGATGGTGACAAAGTTATATGGTTCAGACCTACCTCAATGAACTACTGGGTGAAAAGCAAAGTCATGTGGCACTAGTTTCCTACCATGCAGTCCTACCGCAAAGAACTAAGTGCATAATAAAAACATAGGTAATGAAACATGATCAAGATGCAACTTGCCTTGGTACTGCTGGTTGAATTCTAAAGACTGATAATATTTTGCTTCGCACTCCGGGCAATCTATCGCAAAGAAGATAAACAAACATAAGCAACATTCCAGAGGCCAAAAGAACATGCATAGCAAAAAGTCTCGGAAAAACCAAATGAACATACAACACACTAAGCTACTACGGAAATACTCTAAGTGCAAAACAACATAGGCCTAAGGTTCAAAGAGTGATGTGAAATATAGTGCATACTAGTAAAAATATTAAAGGGCAGATTCTAGTGTGTGAAAAAAAATTATTGTGACAAAGGTCCAGGTGATAGGGCTTTGCTACGGTGACATCATGCAAAAGGAATCAACTTAATCGGAGCTACAGTTTGGGAGATATGGCTATTTAAAGTTTGATTTTGAATCTGAATAAATTCAAATTCTTTGAATCTGACAAAAGTTTGCAAAAACTATGCTACTGGATAGATCTAAACAATATGAAGAATTTGTTGCTGGTTTCATCGAGTTTGGATCAAAGGTTAAAAAGTTATGGCTAATCTAAGATCAGGGACTAATCTGCTATTTACAGGGACTAAATGGTGAAGAAAAACTACCACAAACATGTCCCTGGCCACGTGGCGGCTCCTGGCTGGCCGAGCAGCGTCCGCCGCGGAGACTATACGGCGAACGGCCGCCAAATAAGAAAAAAAACAACGACCGTGGCTAAATAAAGAAAACCGACGCTTGGTTTAAATAAACCGCACGGTCTAAGGGAACCGCGGTTAACCACGTACCCTTTCATGAAATAATAAAAAAACCGGACCTAATCTAATCTGGGCCGTGGATCTTCGATCTACGAACGAGGGGAGGTGCAGCGGCTTACAGCTGCTGGCGACGTCGGCGACGAGCAGAGGACGGCGACACGACGTAGGTGACGGAGGGGGCAGCGGCTGTGGTGGTCCTCGTCGACGGGGAAGAAGACGGGGAGGTGCGGCGCGTCGAGGGCATCCGGATGGTGGCGTCGGGGTGCGTCGGCGGCGTCCGAACGGGGCAGGGCGAAGACGGCGGCCTTCGGTGCTCCGGCGGCTCCGGCGTCGACGGTGCGGCGTCCCCGACGGGACCTAGGGGCAAAAATAGTGTCAAAAGGATGCGCCTCGGTGGGCTAAGAAGTTTTACAGAAAAGGAAGGGTCGGAGAGGACTACAGGCGACGAACTGCTCCGGCGAGATGCGAACGGGCAGCACGGCGGCTGTGAGCGGCGTGGGGAGAAGCAGGACGGCGAGGTCGACAGAGGGGAGCTCGGGGCATTTATAGGCGAGGGGAGGGCGTGCGGGTGCCGCGGATATGCATTATCCGCGAGGGCCTCGCCCGGCGGTTGCGGGAGCGCGGCGGCGAGCTCACCCGAGCGGGGAAAGCGGGAGGTTGGGGGAGATGAGGTGGAGCGGGGCCCACCAGTCAGTGGCGGTGGCGTTAGCGAGCGAGGGGGGCTGCGGGCGGTCGACCGGTGCGGGGAAATTCGGGTGCGCGGGCGGCCTTGGGACGAAATGGCCAGCTGGGCCGGTCGGGCGCTCCTGGGCCGAACCTGGTTTCTGGTCCAGGCTGCGTGCGTGTTTTTTTAACTGGAGATTAAGTGCTCACAACTAATTCAAAAGAATTTCTAAAAACACCAAATAAATTTCTAAAATAACTACATAATATTTAGAGCATAATGAACATTAACTTAAGCACAGAACAATTTGAAAATAATTTCCCTAATGCAACTAATGCACTTTTCGCAAATAAAATAAATACCAAACAACTCCAAAACTTAAAGTAATATTCAAAATAAAATTTCCCACTCTTTTTATATTTTGAGTAAGTCATCTTATCCCCTCTCATTTGTTTTTCT